GAGAAATGGGCGTGTCTCGTTGACCAAACATCCCACAGCAATAAAACGACTGCGTTATTGGGTTATTATGCACACATTCGAGAGAGGAAACATTTTTAAACTGATAAAGAACCACTTAAAAGATGGACATAAGTCGACAGCAAGGCTTGGGTAGGGCTTTTATTATAGACCGATGATTAACGTTACATATCTTGCCAAAAGTAATCCGTACTCAATTTGGATTCATATCTGGAAGTAGGCTATTATTTAAGGAAAATATGCACCTGTTATTACGGTATAAAACATATAAAACATAAAGTGAGACCCACTTGGTGTTTTCTAGACATTTTTTTCTCTGAACCTCAAAATATCTTGGCTTCAAAAAGATCTGGATCCATTTCTTCTTTTTTTTACCTGCCGTTCAGATAAAATCTGATTTTTCCAGTTATTGTTATAGATCACTTTCCTACCTGTCTACACCAAATGGCAATAACCGCTTCTTTATTGGGGTTGCAATACGAAACACCTTTCTCTGAACCATTAGACTTGTGAAGCAGCCATTCCAGCTGTTTAAAGTCAATAACACAGTCTGTGCGACTTCCTGTGCGCGTCCACAGAGGTGCGCGTCGCGCGCGGTGTACAAAATTCCCAGTGTCACGCATGCGCCCTGCAGTCAAACCTGAAGATTCAGCCCACTCTGCGCATGCGCGTGGCAGGAACTTGAGTGACACGCATAGCAGCTGTACCGTGGGAACCGGACGACTGCAATTTCTGCGCAGCGCACTCGCCTATCCTCACACGCCGCAGTTTGGCGTGTAAAGCCACACGCCACACACACACACACACACACACGCAGTATAGTGTGCAGTGCAGCCGTTTGTTCCATTTGTAGCTACAGAAGCTTCAAACATTTGATCTGCCAAACTGTTCTGTTTCACTTATAACCGCTCGTGCGTGCGTTATAACCTGCACGTACTTGTTTGCACAGTATGGCTTTCTCATATGACCAAGATTGTTGTTGACGAGTTTAAAATGGCTTAAACGTAAATTGACAAAGAAGTGAATTCAGGTTGAATGGGACACTTTTCCCCAGTCATCTCAATGCAGCAATCTCAAAACCTGAATTTACCTATAAATTGACAAAGATCTGCAAATATTCAACAACAACAAACAATGTTTCGTTTTATTGTCATGGTCCCTTATTGCTGTACTAGTTTTAACACACAATAATAAATTCTGAACAGGTTTCTCTGAGTGAAATAGGAACCTGTATTACTGTATTCTTGTAGCCGGTGTCCTTAGTAGAATATAGCTACAACCCACAATAAAACATCCCTGCAAGTTTATACTCCTCTATCAAAAATGTGCTCGGAATGAATTCAGATGGTCATTGGCTGTCAAATGAAGTCAATATGTTGTCCATGGGTCAACCCGGTATCACGACAAGACGTGAAATAATCACATTGGTCCACTTTGGAAAACGTGTAGATGTCACGGTTTAACCCCTTCAAACGTGAAACTTACACGTGAAAAATGGAATTTTGTTTTATTGACGATCACTTATAAATGTTCTATTATTTATAATGCAAAAAAACATTTATTATTTTCAAGGTGAAAGGGATTCATTTGCCTTGATCCATGCGATAAAACGTCTAAATTACTGACTTTGCACATATCAAAGCAAACCTTCTTATCAACCTGTTGCATCAAAGTTCAGTTCACAAATTTTAAAATGAACTATAGTTCAGTCCCTCTATCAGAATCCAGAGTTTTGAGAAGATTGGAGAAACTTAATTTTTCACCCGAAAAAAAAAAAAGAAAGGGGTACCACTGTCGTTTTTTTGGGGGGTTGAATTTTTGAGTTTCGATATCTCAGCTCTGGAAGGGTCTAGAGCCTCCATTTTTGCACTCAGGTTTAAATCTCATGGCCCTCTATCAGAATCCAGAGTTTTGGGAAGATTGGAGAAACTTAATTTTTCGCCCAAAAAAAAAAAACGTAAGGGGTACCACTGTCGTTTTTTTTTCGGGCCAAATTTTTGAGTTTCGATATCTCAGCTCTGGAAGGGGCTAGAGCCTCCATTTTTTGCACTCAGGTCTAAGTCTCATGGCCCTCTATCAGAATTTGGAAGATTGGAGAAACTTAATTTTTCGCCCAAAAAAAAAAACGTAAGGGGTACCACTGTCGTTTTTTTTTTCGGGCCGAATTTTTGAGTTTCGATATCTCAGCTCTGGAAGGGGCTAGAGCCTCCATTTTTGCACTCAGGTCTAAGTCTCATGGCCCTCTATCAGAATCCAGAGTTTTGGGAAGATTGGAGAAACTTAATTTTTCGCCCAAAAAAAAAACGTAAGGGGTACCACTGTCGTTTTTTTTTCGGGCCGAATTTTTGAGTTTCGATATCTCAGCTCTGGAAGGGGCTAGAGCCTCCATTTTTGCACTCAGGTCTAAGTCTCATGGCCCTCTATCAGAATCCAGAGTTTTGGGAAGATTGGAGAAACTTAATTTTTCGCCCAAAAAAAAAACGTAAGGGGTACCACTGTCGTTTTTTTTTGGGGTCGAATTTTTGAGTTTCGATATCTCAGCTCTGGAAGGGGCTAGAGCCTCCATTTTTGCACTCAGGTCTAAGTCTCATGGCCCTCTATCAGAATCCAGAGTTTTGGGAAGATTGGAGAAACTATATTTTTCGCCCGAAAAAAAAAACGTAAGGGGTACCACTGTCGTTTTTTTTTTCGGGCCGAATTTTTGAGTTTCGATATCTCAGCTCTGGAAGGGCTAGAGCCTCCATTTTTGCACTCAGGTCTAAGTCTCATGGCCCTCTATCAGAATCCAGAGTTTTGAGAAGATTGGAGAAACTTAATTTTTCGCCCAAAAAAAAAAAACGTAAGGGGTACCACTGTCGTTTTTTTTTTGGGGCCGAATTTTTGAGTTTCGATATCTCAGCTCTGGAAGGGGCTAGAGCCTCCATTTTTGCACTCAGGTCTAAGTCTCATGGCCCTCTATCAGAATCCAGAGTTTTGAGAAGATTGGAGAAACTATATTTTTCGCCGAAAAAAAACGTAAGGGGTACCACTGTCGTTTTTTTTTTTGGGGCCGAATTTTTGAGTTTCGATATCTCAGCTCTGGAAGGGCTAGAGCCTCCATTTTTGCACTCAGGTCTAAGTCTCATGGCCCTCTATCAGAATCCAGAGTTTGGGAAGATTGGAGAAACTTAATTTTTCGCCCAAAAAAAAAAACGTAAGGGGTACCACTGTCGTTTTTTTTCGGGCCGAATTTTTGAGTTTCGATATCTCAGCTCTGGAAGGGGCTAGAGCCTCCATTTTTGCACTCAGGTCTAAGTCTCATGGCCCTCTATCAGAATTTGGGAAGATTGGAGAAACTTAATTTTTCGCCCCAAAAAAAAAAACGTAAGGGGTACCACTGTCGTTTTTTTTTCGGGCCGAATTTTTGAGTTTCGATATCTCAGCTCTGGAAGGGGCTAGAGCCTCCATTTTTGCACTCAGGTCTAAGTCTCATGGCCCTCTATCAGAATCCAGAGTTTTGGGAAGATTGGAGAAACTTAATTTTTCGCCCAAAAAAAAAACGTAAGGGGTACCACTGTCGTTTTTTTTTTCGGGCCGAATTTTTGAGTTTCGATATCTCAGCTCTGGAAGGGGCTAGAGCCTCCATTTTTGCACTCAGGTCTAAGTCTCATGGCCTCTATCAGAATTTGGGAAGATTGGAGAAACTTATTTTTCGCCCAAAAAAAAACGTAAGGGGTACCACTGTCGTTTTTTTTTCGGGCCGAATTTTGAGTTTCGATATCTCAGCTCTGGAAGGGGCTAGAGCCTCCATTTTGCACTCAGGTCTAAGTCTCATGGCCCTCTATCAGAATCCAGAGTTTTGGGAAGATTTGGAAAACTTAATTTTTCGCCCAAAAAAAAAAAAACGTAAGGGGTACCACTGTCGTTTTTTTTTTTCGGGCCGAATTTTTGAGTTTCGATATCTCAGCTCTGGAAGGGGCTAGAGCCTCCATTTTTGCACTCAGGTCTAAGTCTCATGGCCCTCTATCAGAATTTGGGAAGATTGGAGAAACTTAATTTTCGCCCAAAAAAAAAAACGTAAGGGTACCACTGTCGTGTTTTTTTTCGGGCCGAATTTTTGAGTTTCGATATCTCAGCTCTGGAAGGGCTAGAGCCTCCATTTTTGCACTCAGGTCT